GTGACGGAGGCCAGCCGCCCCTCTCGGCCACCGCCACGCTGCACCTAATCTTTGCGGATAGCTTACAAGAGATACAGCCTGACCTTGGCGAGCATCTCGCTCCTTCTAATCCCCAGGAGGAGCTGCAGTTTTACCTGGTGGTGGCCTTGGCCTTGATCTCTGTGCTCTTCCTCCTCGCCGTGATTCTGGCCATCGCCCTGCGCCTGAGACGCTCCCCTAGCCCCGCTACCTGGAACTGCTTTCAGCCTGGTCTCTGCGTCAAGTCTGGACCCGTGGTTCCTCCCAGCTACAGCGAGGGCACTTTGCCGTATTCCTACAATCTGTGTCTTGCTCATACTGGTACAACAGAGTTCAATGTCTTAAAGTATAGCGTACCATTACATTCCACTCAAGACACAGTTTGCAGTGATTCTCCTGGGGCCTTAATTCCACCTCAAAGTGGGGATGATTTGACTTCACATCCTGAGACTTTAACATCGGTGAGTTTCTTTTGTGTGATTTCTCTAATATCCTACTTGTATCTCACATTTCGGGCATACTACTTCATTTTAATGTGTAGAATATATTTTTAAACCCATAGTTAATTATCTGGTCTTCTCAATATTTGCTTTTTGAAAATTATATGGTTTCAAGACCTACTTTGTTCATAAGTTGCTCTATCACTTGGTAAAAGATTGGAGATATCTCCAGATTGGAGATATCTTGTCAAGCTCTGCTTAGCAAACAGAAGCAGTGGTCTTGGCTTCCAACAAAATAAATAGTCAATCTATTCAAAGTTACTAAGACTTAAAATGAAATTTCCATGTTCTCTCTATGGGTTTTTAAAACATAAAAAATTCATGGCTGGTAGTGGTGGCTCACAGTTGTAACCCCAGCACTTTGGGAGCCTGAGGCAGGAAGATTGTTTAAGGCCAGGAGTTCAAGACCACCTTTGGAAACATAGTGGTGGCACCTTATCGCTACAAAAAAAATTTTTTTTTTTTTTTTAATTTAGCTGGGCCTGGTGGCATGTGCCTGTAGTTCCAGCTACTTGGGAGGCTGTTGCAGGAGGATCACCTGAGCCTGGGAGGTTGAAATTGAAGTGAGATATGATTGTGCAACAGCACTCCAGCCTGAGTGACAGAGTAAGACCCTGTCTCTATAAACAAACAAAAAGTTCAGGCATGCACTAAATATCAAAACTGGTGCTCCTTTCAAAGGAACATATAGTGTGAATAGTCCTTTAGGTGCTTTTAGGTATCTTCCTTCATTTATCTTAATAGTTTTTTTCAAACTGTAAGCAGCTGAAGAGAGGATATTAGGCAGATCCATTGACTCCCTGAAACTGTATGCAAAGTTATAGATGCATGCATTTTTCTTGGAGGATTCAAAACTTTATACATATTTCCAAAGTTTCTATTGTCCCCCAAACTTAATAATAATCCCCAGAGGGATGTTTGGAGCTCGAGGTCCAAAAGAAGGACTTTTGTTCCTCTGACTTTCTTCTATATTTATGATTCTTACTTTTTCTTGGAGCTCAAACTGTAGTCTTTTCCAATCTCTTTTCATCCACATTGCAAGATAAAGAAATTTCCAGGAAATCAAGTGGAATTCTATTGCCTGTCTCTGTCTCGGATTCTCTAAGATCTTTGAAGAAAAAATATAATACCTTTGAAGAGTTTCATACTTGGGAGGCATAGTGATACAAACACTTGTGAACAACATTCTTTGTATGAAAGAAGTGACCCTCTATACCCTTAAAATTTGAGAATAGAACTTTTCCTGGGTTCATGGGCACACATAGGTGAAGATTCAATGAACCACTTGACTTGGAGTTTCCATACAAATTGCCTAAGAAAAGAGGTTATTGATGCTGGCATTAATGGCGGGATGAAGACATAATTTGACATGAACATTTTGTTAAGGAAAAAAAAATAGCCTGCATCACTATATCCAACTTTGTTTTTAAAAATTTCAGCACTTGCAATTATTTTTACATATTTATCTTCCATTATAATGCAAACGTTTTAATTTGCAACTGTAGTATATGTTTCTTTTAGTTTGTGGTTACCTGCTTGATTCATTTAAATAGGTCAACTTAATTTCTAATAATATATGCCTATAAGAAAAGGTACATTTTTCCAAAAAAATTCATTAAGACTCAGTAAAACTGTTTTAGAAAATAATATTTTGAAAACTTCTTACACAACCTTAAGCTAAACAAATTTAATTAAATAAATAAAAAAAGCTTCAAAGTTATTTCATAAGCAATATAGCTAATATAGTTTCTATATGAATATATACTAAATAAAATTGAACTATTTAAATCACAGCTTCAAATAAAATTGTAAGACTTTCCTGAATATAGTTATAAGGTCATAGAATCTAAAATAAGCGTCATATACCTTCTAAGGTAGGTACATTTCTGTTGGGAAAATAGGTTGCAAATATATATTTAACCAAACATTACCGTGAAATATTTATAGTACGTTCACTCCGCTTTATCGCACCTCCAGTAAGAAACCCACAAATAGCAATTGGTGTAAAGATATTATGGAGAAACCAAAGACTTGATGTCAAATGTAATCCAAAAGAAATAGAGGAGCATTTGCTCTCTATTGCATTATTTATTTGGTGGGTGCAGTAACTTCGTAGGACTGTGAGCGCCGCTGTTGACCTACTAGGAGAGAAACGCAGCCAGCGCTCAATCCGGATTCTCAGGGCTCCAACCGCACAAAGCCCCAGCGTTCCTACGAACCGGCTCCTGGGCTGCAAGGACACTCACTCCAGAATTTAAGGTGCGCAGGCTACAGAGACACCCTGCAGCCACAGAAAGAAAAAGGAACCGGTCGAAACACACAACGTGTCCAGTGAGGACTTCACGAGAATCCCATGACAATGGCCGCTCAGAGGAAGCGCCCCGCCCGCAGCAAGCTGGTCCTGCTCTGCCTTTTCCTCGGGATTCCGTGGGAAGCCGGAGGCCGGCAGATTTACTACTCCGTTCCCGAGGAATCAGAGAAAGGCTCCTTCGTGGGCAACATCTCCAAGGACCTGGGGCTGGAGCCCCGCGAGCTGGCGGAGCGCGGAGTCCGCATCGTCTCCCGAGGTAGGACGCAGCTTTTCGCTCTGAACCCCCGAGGCGGCAGCTTGGTGACCGCGGGCAGGGTCGACCGGGAGGAGCTCTGCGCCCAGAGCGCGCGGTGTCTGGTGAGCTTTAACATCCTTGTGGAAGATAAGGTGAAGCTTTTCGGGATAGAAATAGAAGTAACTGATATCAATGATAATGCCCCGAAATTCCAAGCGGAGCATCTTGACGTAAAAATCAATGAAAACGTCGCTCCGGGAACGCGTTTTCCCCTTCCGGAAGCGGTTGATCCGGATGTGGGAGTGAACTCCCTACAGAGCTACCAGCTCAGCCCCAACAAACATTTCTCCCTGGGAGTTCAGAGCCGTGCCAGTGGTGTCAAGTACCCAGAGCTGGTGCTGGAGCGCGCCCTAGATCGCGAGGAAGAGGCTGTTCACCACCTGGTCCTCACCGCCTCCGACGGAGGCGACCCTCTCCGATCAGGCACTGTCCTCATCAGTGTGACTGTCTTCGATACAAATGACAACGCGCCGGTCTTCACCTTGCCCGAATACCGAGTGAGTGTTCCCGAAAACTTGCCGGTGGGCACTCAGCTGCTGACGGTCACCGCCACCGACAGGGACGAAGGAGCCAATGGAGAAGTGACTTATTCATTTCGAAAATTACCTGACTCACAGTTGTTGAAGTTTCAACTAAACAAATATACTGGGGAAATAAAAATATCAGACAACCTAGATTATGAGGAAACGGGTTTCTATGAACTGGAAATACAAGCGGAAGACGGAGGCGCGTACCTTGCAACTGCAAAGGTGATGATCACAGTAGAAGATGTAAATGACAACAGTCCAGAGGTGACCATCACATCCCTGTTTAGCCCAGTGACGGAAGATTCTCCTCTGGGAACTGTCATAGCCCTTTTAAACGTCCATGATTTAGACTCTGAGCAGAATGGGCAGGTAACCTGTTCCACCTCAGGGAATTTGCCATTTAAATTGGAGAAGTCCATTGATAGCTATTACAGATTGGTGACACACAGCGCCCTTGACAGAGAACAGGCATCCTCTTATAATATCACCATAACAGCCACAGATGGGGGAAGTCCACCTCTATCGGCAGAAACCCACTTTACTCTGCAAGTGGCAGACATCAATGACAACCCACCCACATTCTCTCACATCTCCTATTTTACCTATATCCCAGAGAACAACCCCAGGGGTGCCTCCATTTTCTCCGTGACAGCCCACGACCCAGACAGCAAAGAGAATGCCCAGATTATTTACTCCCTGGCCGAAGGCACCATCCACGGAGCACCTCTATCCTCATACGTATCTATCAACTCAGACACTGGTGTCCTGTACGCACTCAGATCCTTCGACTGTGAGCAGTTTCGTGATCTACAGGTGCAGGTGACTGCCAGTGACCGTGGGGAACCGCCACTCAGCAGCAACGTGACGCTAAGCCTGTTTGTGCTGGACCAGAATGACAACGCGCCTGAGATCCTGTATCCCGCCCTCCCCACCGACGGTTCCACAGGCGTGGAGCTGGCACCCCGCTCCGCAGAGCCCGGCTACCTGGTGACCAAGGTGGTGGCGGTGGACAGAGACTCGGGCCAGAACGCCTGGCTGTCCTACCGCCTGCTCAAGGCCAGCGAGCCCGGGCTCTTCGCGGTGGGGCTGCACACGGGCGAGGTGCGCACGGCGCGGACGCTGCTGGACAGAGACGCGCGCAAGCAGAGCCTCGTGGTGGCCGTCCAGGACCACGGCCAGCCCCCTCTCTCGGCCACCGTCACGCTCACCGTGGCCGTGGCCGACAGGATCCCTGAAGTCCTGGCCGATCTGGACAGTCTAGAGTCTCCCGCCGACTCCGAAACGTCAGACATCACGCTGTACCTGGTGGTGGCGGTGGCCGCGGTCTCCTGCGTCTTCCTGGCCTTCGTCATCGTGCTGCTGGCGCTCCGGCTGCGGCGCTGGCACAAGTCGCGCCAGCTCCAGGCTTCCGGCGGCGGGCTGGTGGGCCTGCCCGCCTCGCACTTTGTGGGCGTGGACGGGGTGCGGGCCTTCCTGCGGACCTATTCCCACGAGGTGTCACTCACCGCGGACTCGCGCAAGAGCCACCTGCTCTTCCCCCAGCCCAACTACGCGGACATGCTCATCAGCCAGGAGAGCTGTGAGAAAAAGGATCCTATGTCTTTGCTAGATGATTCGAAGTTCCCCATAGAAGATACCCCTTTGGTTCCAGTGAGTTTTACTTTTACTCTGTTTCTCTCGTTTAAAAAATTATTATTGGTTTTACTTTTAAGTTTGCAACATGATGGTAGAAAACGTAAATATTTATTTTTGTCATCACTTTTGTTTCCATTTCAATGATACTTGCCTCTTGCTAAAGCGTTGAAGAGTAGAGTTTGATGGTTATTAAGGCTGTTTCTTTTCTTTTTTTAGTTTTCTGGTAAAATTCACCTAGTTTTAAGGAAGGACTTTTGTCATAAGACTGTTATGATTAGCTTTGCAGAGTCTTATAGTTTATAGTGTTATTGAGTACAATGCTGACAATTCCTAAGAGGGACTTCCACACAGAAGTGTCTGTCCATGTGTACATTCCCCTGGGTGGCCGCATGCAGAAACTTGAGCCCGGTCAACAACCCTAATTCGTGTTTTGAAGGCGGTCTGGTAAGTACAGACAAATGTCAGAAAGAAATGCATTCGTTTCTTTAGGAACACAACTTAAATCCAAGATTACTCAATGCTGTTCTTCCCAAGAAGAAGGGCAATAGGCCTTTGTAATTATATGTTTTGAACTATATTTTGTAGTGACAATTGCACTTGAATCCACTTAAATTTTTCATTAATATTCAGTTATAATTTATAACCATATATGCTTAAATTTTTCCAACCATAATTGTAGCTGGTAACACTGGAGCATCCCTTTTGAATATGATTCTCTAATTTCATGCTGCTGCATGGAAGGTATGGCATTTTAATTTAACTTTCCTTGCAACAAGGATTCTACAGGAGGTATAGAAGATTAAATTAGAGACATTTGGGATTCTGTTTTTGTTGTTGTTGTTAAATTTTCCAATCACTAAGACTGAAAATAAATATGGATTGGGGAGACAGATAAATTTGTACATGTTCCCAAGAAAAGGAGCAAGAGATTTGTGACAAAGGTATTTCAGCAGCTCTTTAACAGGAAGGCACACACCTGAAACTCTGAAAACCCTGAAATTAAGAGTCAAACTAAATTTACAGTCAAGGAAGACAAGCCATTTCTGCAGGAGACAATGTAAGCGGAGAAGTATGTAAAATTATTCAAGACAAATGATTAGTGGAGGTACTGATGAACCCATTTAGTTCAACTGATGAACCCATTCAGTTCGGTGAAAATACTGATGTATCTGACTGATCTCTTAATTTTAATGCATTACTAATACTCCACTAAACTTGCTAGCACAGAGTCAAAAAGCATTCTAAAGTTTCTAAACACTTCTAAGACCACGACTTTTTTCACGGCAATCAACATTTGTTCAATGATAGGTCTGTGAAAGAAGAACACACTCTTTTGGCTCATAGTTATTAACTATTAAATTACCGAGACCATTATTTTGAATTTCTTTCCATAAGAGTCAAAATTATTAGGCATCCGTCGCAAATAATACTATTATTTTGAAAAATGCAGGTTTTTAAAACTACTCTTTTGAAATTATAGGTAGTGTAAAAATAATTTTAGATATAATTATTTAAAAGCAATACGGGACACCTTAAATGATATTAGTGACTATGGCAATGACCTTATTCCAATATCTAAATATGAATGAAGGGATTCTTACTTTCTAGACAAATATAAGTTGGAGTTGAAGAAAAAAATGTTTGTTTGCTTCGGTACTTCCAGCTTCATGGATAGTTACTTTTAAAAGGAAAAACAGCGATTGCCTTTGGAAGGAAGCATTGAACAGCAGCAGTCCACGGGATAGGATACCTATAAACCCTCACTCTATATTGTTTTGTGCCTTATTAAATCTTGACAAAATACTTTTATCTATTCAAAATATTGTAAATTTTAATACATTCAAATGTATGATAGTTATGACCTCGTGAAAGATAAGTCATGATGAAAACGGAATTACTGAGGAACAAGATTAAAATATTTTGGCTATAAACTTGTGCTTTAAAAAAAAAAAATTATTGAGACAGAAAACTCAGGCTGCAGTCCCACACAGAGCCTCTGGGCGCCGCTGTCGGCCAGTACAGAGCGAGCGCTGACGCCCGGGATCCCTGAGTCGCTTAGCTTGGGATTCCCTGCGCAGCCAACACCACAAAAAGAAGAAAACCAGCTCACACACTAAAAGAAGCTCCCGGCTACACAGAACCTGCCAGGCACACACGGATTCTCAGCTCCGAGGCTGGGGTCTCCGCCTGACCTGGGCCGAATGCTCTTCCACCGCTGCAGGGAGCACTTTCTCCAACTGGAAGGGCGGGTGCCCAGCGAGACCTAGAGCCAACGATGGGAGGGAGCTGCGCGCAGAGGCGCGGGGCCGGCCCGCGGCAGGTACCATTTCCCTTGCTGCTGCTTTTGTTCTGCCCCGCGCTCTGCGAGCCCATCCGCTACTCCATTCCCGAGGAGCTGGCCAAGGGCTCGGTGGTGGGGAAGCTCGCCCGGGATCTAGGGCTCAGCGTCCTGGATGTGTCTGCCCGGAAGCTGCGGGTTAGCGCGGAGAAGCTGCACTTCAGCGTAGACGCGGAGAGCGGGGACTTGCTTGTGAAGGACCGAATAGACCGGGAGCAGATCTGCAAAGAGCGGAGGAGCTGTGAGTTGCAACTGGAAGCTGTGGTGGAAAATCCTCTGAATATTTTTCACGTCGTTGTGGTGATTGAGGATGTGAATGACCACGCCCCTCAATTCCGCAGAGATGAAATAAACTTAGAAATCAGTGAATCCATCAGCCCGGGGATGGGAACAATCCTTGAGTCTGCAGAAGATCCTGATATTGGTATGAATTCACTGAGCAAATACCAATTAAGTCCTAACGAATATTTCTCACTTGTGGTGAAAGACAATCCCGACGGTGGCAAGTATCCAGAATTAGGATTGCAGAAGGCTCTGGACCGAGAAACGCAGAGCGCTCACCACCTGGTACTGACAGCCCTAGACGGTGGGGACCCTCCCCGAAGCGGTACCGCTCAGATAAGGATCCTGGTGGTCGATGCCAATGACAACGCCCCAGTGTTCGGCCAGGACGTGTACAGGGTCAGCCTTCGGGAAGATGCGCCTCCAGGCACCTCCGTCCTGAGAGTGAAGGCCACCGACCGGGATGAGGGCGTCAACTCGGAGGTCACCTACTCCTTCCTTGGTGTTCCTGACAAAACTCAGCACGTGTTCTCTCTGGATTCCACTACAGGAAACATTGTAACTCGTGAGTCTTTGGATTTTGAAGAAATAGAAAGATATGCCATGAACGTAGAAGCAAAGGACCGAGGATCTCTCTCTGCCCAGTGTAAAGTAATTATAGAAATTCTAGACGAAAACGACAACAGCCCAGAAATAATCATCACTTCTCTGTCTGACCAGATTATGGAGGATTCCTCCCCCGGAATGGTTGTTGCCCTCTTCAAAACACGGGACCGAGATTCTGGGGAAAATGGAGATGTCAGGTGTAGTTTAAGTCGAGATGTTCCATTTAAGATTTATTCTTCTTCTAATAATTACTACAAACTAGTAACAGACGGGGTCCTGGACCGGGAGCAGACCCCGGAGTACAACGTCACCATCACAGCCACCGACAGGGGCAAGCCGCCCCTCTCCTCCAGCAAAACCATCACCCTGCACATCACCGACGTCAATGACAACGCGCCGGTTTTCGGACAGTCTGCCTACCTGGTCCACGTGCCAGAAAACAACCCACCCGGCGCCTCCATCGCGCAGGTCAGCGCCTCGGACCCGGACTTGGGGCCCAACGGCCTTGTCTCCTACTCGATCGTGGCCAGCGACCTGGAGCCCGGGTCGCTGTCGTCCTACGTGTCGGTGAGCGCGCAGAGCGGCGTGGTGTTCGCGCAGCGCGCCT